ATTCGAAAGACTACATTTAAACCCTCTTAAACATTTTCTACTCCTGGTAAGTTTACCAAGCTCTCATCCTGTGAGGAATCGTTGAACCAAAACTCCGTTGTACTAATTTTTACCACGTTCTTATAAACTCGCTTTCATATTTATATAATTTTACTTTGCACAAATTTACATATATATGTGTAAAGTGAGAATGAGGAGAGGGAGCGAGCAGTCAGTCAAGTACGAACAGCCAGGCGGAACGGTTCAATAACCGGACATTGAATTGAATACTTTAAACTCTGTATCATATAATTTAATAATAAACATTCCATTTAATTGTTATACTACTACCCGGGTAACATCTTGACAGATTCAGAAGCGGGTATCGAGAACGCCTACAGGAGTTAAAAATTGTAAGTAAATTTACAAAGGAAAACGTTAATACAATACGGAGGTGCGTCACAAGAAAAACGAAATAAGCTGTGCAACATACCCAAAGCACATACGTACATATCTCGAAAGCGGTGGCGCAGCAGCAGAACACTCGACGTAAAGGAGAAGGTGTAAACGGAGCGAGTGAGGGGCACGTAAACGCACACACACGCTCACAACACCGACGCCATATGCGAAAGAAAAGAACGATCAAAAAGGGTAAGTGAGCAACGAAAGTGCAGCGGAATAGCACATAAACGCTCAAATTACCAACGGCGGGTACGCAAGCAAACGACTCAACGAAGAAAGAGTAAACGGCAGCAACGACCGTGCAACGAACAGGCACATACAGGGAAAAACAAACGCAAAACGAATTGACAACGACGCTCAACTACTGATGAGAAAAGAAAAGGGGTGATAGCAAGCAGTGCATATAGAAACATCGAGAATTAAGGGGAATTGCGGAAGAAGAAGATCTTAAAAGGGAAAAACGACGCCAATGAACAAAGTAGGCTACGGAAGAAAAGGCTTGTGGTGTTTTTTTTAGGAAGAAGTAGGACAAAGTAGCAGCCCTTATGGAGGCGTTAGGAACGGACGAGGTCGAACTGCAGGAGGTATCATCGGTGGAACCATGGGAGCAGCCATTCAACCAGCTGCAAGAGCTTGTATTAAGTTTGGCGAACTCCGTAAAAGCTATTGAATTAGCGCTAAAGCCAGAAGCAGCGGCACGAAACAACGATGGAAATGAGTCGGTAAGAACGGGAGCAGCAACGGTAGGCGGAGTAGAGGCTCCTGAACCCTCACCGCAACGAGGCCTACCAGTGCAGATGGTGCATACGCAAAGTGTATCAGAAATAGTGGGAGTCCTTCCAGAGTTTGACCCGGTACGGAAAGCAATGACAGCGCAGCAGTTCGTAACGAAAGTGGAGCAGTTACAACAAGTGTACCGTTGGAAAAACGAAACCGTGCTTTTAGCAGTTCAACACAAGCTGAAAGGAGTTGCCAAGAATTGGTTAGATGCGCAACCTGTGTTCAAATCGTGGGCGGAATTTGTCCAAATGTTATTGAAGGACTTTCCGTATACAGTGACATCAGCAGACGTTCATCGGGAGTTGGCAGCACGACGGCGTAAACCAAACGAGACACTCATAGAATATTTTTATGAAATGCTGGCGATAGGAAGGCGTGGAGCCATTGATGAGGAATCAATAAATTCCTACGTTATCAACGGCTTAAACGACATTACGCTCACGCGAACGTTATGGGCAATGAATGTGCGAACAAGCAACGAACTAAGGCAGTCCCTGGAAAGTATGCGTGCGACGACCCAAGGGTATGGACAACGTGTCACTCCAAGTACTAATTCATCCGATGTAAGCCCGGTTCCGGTTGAAGAAAAAGGCAAACGTGTTAAATGTTACAATTGCAACGGATTCGGACATATAGCGGCAAAATGTCCACAACCTTCGAAGAAACTACGATGCAGTAAATGTTCAAAGG